TATGTATTATCTTGTTTTTATGTATTATCCTTGACGATATTCAATGTATTTCGTTTCCAAAACAGTCACATAATTTAACATTGGAAAAAAATAATTAAAACCAGTAAGGAAAGTAGTAAAGTCGGACTGGGCCGACTATATGATACCCTTCACCACTTTTGGGTATATTCAACAGATGAATCCTAACGGACGTCGGGTTTTTGTTATATATCTATATCTGAACCGATTTCAGGGAAACTTGCAGAGACGTATGTATATTACTTCAGTACGTTGTGTCAATTGGTCTAGCTATGGACCTTTTCACGAAGCTTAGCAACACCATTCTAGACTTAATTCAGCTTGCTATGCCGAAATTCGTGCAAATCAAAAGATTTCCAGGGACTTTTGGACTATTTACCTAAAATCGGACGAGACTATATATGGGAGCTATATCTAAATCTGAGCCGATTTTTACGAAACTTTGCACACATCATTCTAGACTTAATTCAGTACGCTATGCCAAATTTCGTACAAATCAAAAGATTTCCAGGGACTTTAGTGGACTATTTACCTAAAATCGGGCGAAACTATATATGGGAGCTATATCTAAATCTGAACCGATTTACACGAAACTTTGCACACATTATTCTAGACTTAATTCAGTTTGATATGCCGAAATTCGTGCAAATCAAAAGATTTCCAGGGACTTTATGGGACTATTTACCTAAAATCGGACGAAACTATATATGGGAGCTATATCTAAATCTGAACCGATTTTCACGAAACTTAGCACACGTCATTCTAGACTTAATTCAATACGCTATGCCAAAATTCGTGTAAATCAAATGATTTTCAAGGACTTTGGTGCACCATTTACCTAAAATCGGGCGAAACTATATATGGGAGCTATATCTAAATCTGAACCGATTTTCACGATTCTAGACCTACTTCAGTACGCTGTACCAAATTTCGTGCAAATCGAAAGATATTTAGGGACTTTGATACCTCATTTACCTTAAATCGGACGAAAATATATATGGGAGCTATATCTAAATCTGGACCGATTTTTCCCAATTTCAATAGGGTTCGTCCTTGGTTCGTCCCAAACAAATGAGCTGTGCCAAATTTCATCCAATTCGGATCATAAATGCGACCTGTACTTTGTTTACAATTTAACATGGACAGACGGACGGACGGACATGCATAAATCGACTCAGAAAGTGATTCTATGCATATTCTCAAAAGGAACCATGGGTCTATCTCGATTATTTTTGCCTGTTACAAACATATGCACAAAGACATAATACCCTGTACCACAGTGTGGTGAAGGGTATAAAAACTACTAGAGAGTATCAAATCTATATCATTTACTCAAACCTCTCCTAATTCCGAAATTTCAATTTAAATCTTTGGTTTTATTAAAGAATTTAATTAAAATTTAAAAATCATTAATAAGTATGTTAATGATTTTATTCTTATTTCACTATGGATATTTATCGAAAATACTAGATTCGTATGGCTGGAGGGGTTTGAAAAATAAAATAGTTTTTCTTGGTACTTGTCATTCTAAAATTGAAACGTTTTTTTCTTCGGCACTTTTCATCGGATAAATTACACATATATTTTAATTTCAGAATTTGACTTTCATATGGTATTAATGAATTAAAATAGGCTAAACTTTTAAACTCTGACATAGTATTTCGGGTTACTAAGAATAATAAAAACATGTGTTTGCATTTATGTCTGTTTGTATGTATGTGAATGTGTAGCTGAGGTCAACAACATAAATATACGAAATGAAAATATTTAAAAACATATGTTACGAATGGTACATAATGGAATAATATTTCTTTCTTTCAATATTATTTATTCTGAACTATTAATTTTTATCTCAAATATAATTATTTTTTTTTTTCTGGTTGAAAAATATTTATTGTGATTTTATTCCAAAGTTGTTTGTAAAAAAACGGTTTCGCCCGCCCGTCCATCTGGTTGCTATTGAAATCATGATCTACATACACATAGATCATGATTTCAATAGCAACCAGATAGCTACATACTGTAGCTATCTTAAAACTTTCTTTGAATTCTTTCAAAATTATTGAAAATTTTTAAATTTCATGTGAAGTTAAATCGGATACTTAGATTTGACCCAAACTTCACACAAAGTAATATTTGTTAACACATCTAGATTATAACCGAAGATGTAGCCTATCGCTCCACTTATTCTGGTACCTTCTCCGCAAATTGTCAACATCACGTCTTTTTCTTTATTGTTGATACTGAGTTGCATTGTTCATGTGACACGTGAATGAATTATTTCATGAGTCAAATTGGTTCACAATCGTAAAAATAGGTATCCCACAACCGATAATGGGAAATGAGGGGATCTGCGGTTACTGCGAAATTACACTAAGTTTAAAAAACTAGTCTAACAATTTTAACAATGCCAACATTAAGCGGGATCTCTGAAGGTATTTACAAACACTGACGCATTTGGCAATTTGTTGTGGAGGAGTATTTTATTTATCATGAACCTGGAATGCCAAATTACCGGCTTTTCTGTTGGAAACCCTCAAAATTTCGAGAAGTGGGAAGGCCCTTTATATAAGGCCTATATCAAAGCATAGATCTGCAATGATCGAGATAGACCTACGATTAATTCGCCAAAGTTGCTTAGAATTACCCATTGAATCATTCTAGGGGCTGGATTTAATCGATCAACAATTTGGCCCGCTCTAATGTATATAAATATATATAAATATACACTGGTGACCAAAACTAAATCAACTGACATTGCAAACTGAATAAATAACCTGTAACTCTTTTGAATATGAAGTTATAGTGAATTTTTTTTAGAAATAAATAGGAAATTTATTCACTTTTAAAAAACAAAAACCAGTGAGCGGAGTAGTATAGTCGGACGGGCCGACCATATTATACCCTATACAACAACCACGGAACTCAAACTTTCTGCTAAGTTTTATTCCCAGCCTGGGCAATATTTCGTGATACTTTTATCCTCTTTTCCGATAAGAGGCCAAAAGCACCTCTTCCTTACACTGACATATTTTCCGAATATTACTAATATTCAATACAGTCCTTCTAACTACTTGTCCATATTCCTTTCACCGTGGGTTGTGATGTTCGTCTTATAATTATGGCCTATAGATCGACTAGAAAAAAAACCCAAAAAAAAATTAAGTTTTTGGTCCACTTCATCACAAATTTTTTATCTGGTCATCACCGAAAATTATAGGCATTTTCTTGACCATAACTGGACCCTCATGGAACATTTCAAAGCGATCAGCGCTATATTTCCGCCCTCAAGTGTGGTAATAGGTTACTAATAATATATGAATACGAAAGCAACTGTAAATATGTAACTCCCGCATCCGAGTACCTACGACAATATAATTGGTATCAATTTAAAGGTCAACCACTACTCTTGGATATACTGTCAACTTCTCGGGTCTATGTCCTTCAGTCGTAAATATATACTCTATAGAATACCAATTTTGAACCTCTAAATATTGACCGATCTTTATCAAAACAGGCATGTTTATACTTTGGCCTGATCCTCTTCTCCATGCAAAAATTCGCGGTGTTTGAGCCATAATTGCGGCCTCTGGAGCGACCAGAAAAACCGACAAAAATAAAGTTTTTGGTCCATTTCATCCCCTAAATATTAACCGAACATTTCCTAAAACAATAGGGGTCTACATTGGTCAGAACCCATCCTACATGCAAAATTTCGTGAAGATTGGTCCATAGCTGTGGCCTGTATCGTGTTTACAAATTATAATGGACAGACGGACGGACACACATGTCTAGATCGACTCAGCTAGTCGAGATATGACGATCGGTATACTTAAAGGTGGGTCTAGGAGCAATATTTCGGGGCGTTACAAATTTTGGGGCTACACAAAGCTATAGTTTGTAGGGTATAAATATAAACGCAAAATTTATTTGGAAAAATATCCGAAAACTAAATCAACTTTTTGATTTTTTTTGTAAATAAGCAAATATTTATTAGAAATCGACAGCGTAACCATTATTTTTGATTTCGGCAGCACATCTACGAGGCATTGAATCAATAAAATGTTCAAGTTGAACTATTAGTATAAAACTCTCATTTTTGACACCCGCAATCAATCTTTAGGATGTTTTGGTATATGTTTGGTGGTAATTGTTGACTAGCTCACTGCAATTGTTTCGTTAACTATAATTCATCCAAGAACATAATATTTCTGTGTCGGATTCCAAATAATATTAGCTTTTGCGAAAGGCAATCTGGATTTCCGATTCATTTCAGAAATAAAAGAACGTTCTTGATACGATCCTCGAATGTAGGCTTCCTACCACAGGACGTCCACGCTCTGTTCCTGAGGTTATATCCAACCATAACCGCCTCAACTCATTTAATTTTTGGCGGTTTTTCTGGGCGCTCCAGAGGCCGCAATTATGGCCCAAAAATCGCGAATTTTCACAAGGAGTAGGGGATCGGGCCAAAGAATAATCATGCCTGTTTTGATAAAGATTAATCAATATTTAGCGGGTCAAATGGACCCTGACTTTTATGTGAAAAATTGCAAAATTTGTATTCTCAGATATTATTTAGTAAACCATTACCACACTGGAGGGCAGAAATACATGGTGAGATAAAAAAACTGCAACAAAGTCAAACGCCATAATTTTTACATTTTTTTAATATTATTGAATGAAAGCAAAAAATGTCGCAAATAACATAAAATTTAAGAATAAGTTTAGATTTGTTCGAACTGGTCACCTTTGGCACGAGTTATGGCCTTCAAACGGCCAATGAAATCGCCACACTCTGTCTGAATGTTGTTCTGCGGTATTTTGGCCCATTCCCGGCGATGAGCTTGCTTGAGGTGATCGACACTTTGGTATTTTTTAGTGCCAACCTTGCTATCCAAAATACGTCAGACACAACAGTCCAACGGATTGGTATCCGGAGATTTCGGTGGCCATTGTGTGCTGGAAATGAAGCGAGGAACCTCATTTTGTAACCATTCTTGGGTGGCGCGTACTGAGTGCGATGGTGCTGAGTCCAGTTGGAATGTCCAAGGTCTGCGACCAAAATGTTTGCGTGCCCAAGGCTTTAATACACCCTCCAGAATATTTTCGCCATAATATTCGACGTTTATTCTGATTAATACGATCGGAGAGCGACCATGGGCAGTTATGGCGACCCACACCATCAGTATGGTCGGCGCTTGAGTTCTGGTTGCCAACCGAAGGTGCACCTTTTCAGCTGACCTCTTTGGCAAGTAAACACGACCATTTTTTTGTTTACAAACTATTGGACAACGAATGTTTTCTCATCGGAGAAAACCAAATTCGGCAGTTCACCACGTTCGGCCAAGCGAATCAACTCTTTAGCTCTTTTGAGTGTATTTTCATTCTGTTGCGGTGTAAGTTCTTGCACTTTTTGTAATTTCAATGGCTTTACCCCGAGCTCATCTTTTAGTATGTGCCGAATGGAATATTGCGATATGTTCAGCTCACTAGCCATTTCCGGCCACTGCGACGAAGTTTTCGATCAAGTCGCTTCTATACTTTTCAAACCATTTCTGTTGATGCTGCTGTTTTCCTCCATCCACTTTCTTGACGTCAGGCTACGCTACCAGTGTCACGGTAACGAGCGATGGTACGAGACACAAAAGATGTATTCACATTTAAATGCTGGAGTGCTCTAACGATAGTCACTTGTGGTTTTCCAGCCAAATATAAAGAAATTATACTATGACGCTTGAATTCCATCACGAATAACTTATTTTCTGGACAATTCTTACCAAAATACTTTTGTACGGTTGTAAACAATATAATGAGCTGTCACTGGAATAATTTTAACAGCTGTCAGACGAGTGGCTTAGAAATGACAGCAGACTGAAGTTGGTTGCAGTTTTTTCATCTCACCCTGTATAGCGCTGATCGCTATGAAATGTTCCATGAGGTTTTAGTTATGGTCAAGGACAACACATATAATTTTCGTTGATTATCAGATAATAACTTTGGCATGAAGCGGACCGAAAACTTAATTGTTTGTGTTTTTTTTTTCGAGTCGATCTACAGGCCACAATTATAAGCCGAACATCACACTACAACCCACGGTGAAGGGAATATAGACAATAAATTAGAAGAGCTGTACTGAATATTAGTAATATTCGGAAAATGTGTTAGCAAAAGGGTGCAACTATCACGAAATATTGTCCAGGCTCGAATAAATATCCGCAGAAAGTTAGAGTTCCGTGGTAGTTGCGTTCCCTTGTTTTGTAGTTGTGTTCCCTGGTTTTATGTATATTTGTTTTGGAAGTAAGTCATTTATTAACCTGTGATTTTAGTTGCTTTAGTGTTGGCCACCAGCGTATATATTTTCCTCTATGGGGCCCACAACGAGTATTTCGAGATGTTAGAAACATAATGACACATTACGCTCCATATTGTGAATTATCAAAAATCATATCAATCGGTCGTTGACTTACAGACAAACTCGCTAGTTTTGTACTTCGGTTGGAAAATGTGAAATTTTTTTGCGAATAAGCTATTAATTCAGATTGCACTAGCCCTAGTAAAGCTATCAACGTAAATTTTAAGTGAAAATAAATATTTTTTCAATTAGGATCCATTTGTACACATGATTAGTCATCAGTCAAACTTCCAGTAATGGAAGATGTTACATACACAGAGAAATGCAATTATGACTGAGGCTTAATTCCCAACATTATCATGGCTACTTTAGTTCACATATATACTACATACATAAGCCAATAAAACCACCACTTCTTACGTCATTGAAGACGACTTCGATTTAAAGCCAATGATCTTATACCATTGCACAAACAAAAGGGTGACTAAACATTCTAATATTCTCTGGCATTAATTATGGACCGTGTTTAATTTCATCGCCGTAGTTTCCATTACAAAAAGAACGAATTGGCTCATTTAATAACTTCTTGCTAAACGACTTAATTGAAATGTAATTTATTAATGGGAAATGGGACGAATGAAATGTTTGTTGTTTTATTTTTCCTATTTGTAAAGCAAACACATTATTTTTCTTGATGTTGCTGTTAAAGTTAATTCACACCAGAAGTGTTAAAAATTAATAATTACATTGAATTCTTGAATGTTGTAAGTAATGTTAGAGTTTATATTTAAATGTATGTTAAACGTTATTACTGAAATTTGTATGTACATAAATGTGTGTGTGAGTGTGTGTCTAGGTTGCGATACCAATTAAAATTATGAATTAGAAAGAAATGTGGCGTTGAAAACAGCTTCAGTGTAGATTCGTAGAATTTAATAGTGATACTCAAACATAAACCAATAATGACAATTTTTGATTCATGGGAACATTAAATGACAAATTTGAAAAATATGATCAAAACCCAAACTAAAGACAGTTAGCTCTGTACAAAATGTTTTTGTGCATACAACAAACAGCCGAAAATGTATTTATTGGCGTAGAAAGATAGAGTAGGGTGTGAACACATGATACTAAATTGGATTTGTATTTGTTTATAGTACACATTGTTTAAATCTGCATCATTATACAATGTACTAGTAGTCAAATACTAAATAAAAATTGCACTGATAGAATTATAGAAAACACCCATTTAAAACAACCTTACGGGGGCAATTCGGAATTCGAATTCAAAAAGCGCGTTATAAACAGAAAATGTTAAGTGTTTTGGAAACTTCTATCTCTGTTATGAACACATGTTCAATTTTGTTTCGATATGGCAACTCCTTCATATAGAAACATGTGTGAATGTGATATGGTGAATGTGCTCCTTCGTACGCAACAGTAAACCAGTGAGCGGAGCAGTATAGTCGGACGGGGCCGACCATACGATACCCTACACAACTACCACGGAACTCAAATTTTCTGCGGATATATATTCCGAGCCTATAATTCGTGATATTTGCACCCTCTTTGCCCGATTAGTGGTAAACAGCAACTCTTCCTCAAATTGACATATTTTCCGCTCTCTATAGTTATAATGGGTTACTAAATAACATACGAATACGGAGATACCTGTAAATATTTAGGTGTAACTCCCACATCCGAGCACATACAACAATATAATTGGTATTAATTTAAAGGCCAACCACTCCTCTTGGATATAATATAAACTTCTCGGGTCTATGTCCTTCAGGGGTAAATATATACGCTTTAGAATACAAATTTTATCATTTTTCACACAAAAGACAGGGTCCATTTGATCCACTAAATATTGACCGATCTTTATGAAAACAGGCATCCTTATTCTTTGGCCTGATCCCCTTCTCTATGCAAAATTTCACCATGTTTGGGCCATAATTGCGGCCTCTTTAGCGACCAGAAAAACCGACAAAAATTTAGCATTTGGTCCATTTCATCCCCTAAATATTAATAACAATAGGGGTCTTCATTGGCCACAACCCATCCTACATGCAAAATTTCGTGAAGATTGGTCCATAACTGTGGCCTGTATCGTGTTTACAAATTATAATGGACAGACGGACAGACGGACGGACACACATGTCTAGATCGACTTAGCTAGTCGAGATATGACGATCGGTATACTTAAAGGTGGGTCTAGGACCAATATTTCGCGGCGTTACAAACTTTTGGGGCTGCACAAAGCTATAATACCCTGACAACATAGTTGTGTAGGGTATGAAAATTGGGTTGCTGCATTTAAACGTGGAGATGAACCACGTATTGGACTTTCAAAAACAACAACAACAACAGAAATATTAGCCAAAGTTCATGATATGGTATTAAATGATCGACAAATAAAATAGCGTGAAATTGCTAATATCATTGGTATATCAAATGATAGAGTCCAATTAAATTTTCTGTGAAGAACTACAGATGAAAAAGCTTTCTGCAAGATGGGTGCCTCGTTTGTTAATAGTCTATAAAAAACACATAAGAATGAACATTTCTCAAGCTTGTGTGGATCATTTCAAGCGAAATAAAATAGATTTTAAGCATCGTTTCATAACTGTTGATGACACATGGATCCACTACTATACTCCAGAGACAAAAGAACAATCCAAACACTGTTTGTAACAGGCAAAAATAATCGAGATAGACCCATGGTTGCTTTTGAGAATATGCATAGAATCACTTTCTGAGTCGATTTATGCATGACCGTCCGTCTATCCGTCCGTCCATGTATTTTTGTTAACAAAGTACAGGTCGAATTTATGATCCGATTTGGATGAAATTTGGCACATGCCACTTAATTGGCCCAAGGACGAAACCTATTGAAATTGGAGAAAATCGGTTCAGATTTAGATATAGCTCCCATATATTGTTTTGTCCGATTTAATGTAAATGAGGAACCAAAGACCCCATATACCTTTCGATTTGCACGAAATTTGGTATAACCTACTGAATTAAGTCTAGAATGATGTGTGCTAAGTTTCGTGAAAATCGGTTCAGATTTAGATATAGCTCCCATATATAGCTTAGCCCGATTTTAGGTAAATGGTGCACCAAAGTCCCTGAAAATCATTTGATTTGCCCGAATTTTGGCATAGCGTATTGAGTTAAGTCTAGAATGATGTTTCGTGAAAATCGGTTCAGATTTAGATATAGCTCCCATATATAGTTTCACCCGATTTTAGGTAAATGTTTCACCAAAGTCTCTGAAAATCATTTGATTTGCACGAATTTTTGCATAGCGCATTGAATTAAGTCTTGAATGACGTGTGCTAAGTTTCGTGAAAATCGGTTGAGATTTAGATATAGCTCCGATATATAGTTTCGCCCGATTTTAGGTAAATGGTCTACCAAAGTCCCTATATATCTTTCGATTTGCACGAAATTTGGTATAGCCTATTGAATTAGGTCTAGAATGATGTGTGCTAAGTTTCATGAAAATCGGTTTAGATTTACAAATAGCTCCCATATATAGTTTCGCCCGAGGTAAATGGTGCACCGCAGTCCCTGCTAATCTTTTGATTGTCATGAATTTTGGTATAGCGTGCTAAATTAAGTCTAGAATGATGTGTGCTAAGTTTCGTGAAAATTGGTTCAGATTTAGATATAGCTTCCATACATAGTTTCTTCCGATTTTAAGTAAATGGTGCACCAAAGTCTCTGAAAATCATTTCATGTCAAAATTCAGAAAGGCGACGTCCTTTCGGTTACATGTGTAGAATATACTCAAAATGGTGAAGGGTATCATATAGTCGGTCCAGTCTGACTTTACTACTTTCCTTACTGGTTTAAAAGTGAACTAGATCGTTCACCTCGTTCAGTAGCTTATATCGTTCAAATGGTTACTCAGTTCAATTGGCACGACAGCGCATTCCAATTAAGTTCTGGCAGTTCAACCAACCATAAAGAATGATGGCCTTCCACAATAATTCGAAGGACTGCCCTATCTATTTTCTCCATTTTTTACTGGGTGGGGTTGTTTCAAAAATCCCTCAAAATTTCTTGTATGGCTTTGTATTTATACATACGAGGTCTATACAAATATGCGCGCTTCAGGGATTGGAAAAAAACGTTGGTATATGTGTATTTGAGGGGATTTACATATTCGTATTAATGCATTCAAACAAGCTAGCATTTATCAAATCGCCCGGTAAATAAGTAAATAACAAGTATGTTTGCCAATTATAATCTAATATATTGAATTCTAATTGGAGAATATAATGAACTTATCTGGAGATTTGCTATTTTTTCTAAAAATCTAAACATACAATCTCGATTTTTACATTTGTCTTTCAGTCGTTTTTTATGTGTTCTTTCATTTCTATTTTAATGAATGAATCATTCATTGCTCTGCAATTTCAAATATCTTTGTAATGGAGTATATTTTTGGAAAGTAGTTGTTGTTGTTTTTTGTTTATACAAACATACATATGTATGTACATAAGTTTTGCTTTGCATTTTGTAATTCAAATCAAATAGTATTTTTAGACTATGCCTACG